TTAAATTTACAATGAAGTTTACGCCCCTCACTTCTGAGTAATTTTGTGGGTAGATGTGTCATATAGATGGGTGATTGTTAGGGAAATATTACACTGACAGAGATGAGCTGGAGCTGATCAAACACGTGCCAAAAAGACAAATAGAGGACATGCTAATCACTTCTGTGCCAGTCAGACAAATCAAATAATTATGTTCTTCAATTCTGTTGCAACAAGAGTTAAAGTAATAGCCATGCTTAGTGCAAATTAGCAGATGTTGCCATAGTAACATGCTAAAACTAGAAAGCTCATTGGAGCTTCTTAGCTGCTGCTTACATGAGATGATATTTAACACAGTCTTCAATTTAAACTGTCAACGGTTGCCCCAAAGTGCTTCATATTGGTAAACAGCCTAAAAATCTACTTGAGCATTCAAACAACATGTTACGTTCACGTAACCACCGAGATTTATGCACATTCACAACACTTCAGAGCAATTTGGGGTTCAGTATCTGACAACAGTCAGTGTTGTCTTGTGTTGTGGGTGTCAGCCACCAGGTTTAAATAAAGATAACCAACACATCAGCCCGGTTCTTAGTCTGTGTACAGATCATTGTCCATTCACTCTATGGATGCTTATCAGCTTTGATAAAGTGATACAAAGCAATAATATCTGAGTAGGCCTACAGTTGGTGATTTTGAGATTGGATTTCAGCCACACAGACCGTTTGCCCGCATACAGACAAACTCACTCAAATGTTACAGGTCGACAATTCTTGGACTACGACAGAAACGTGAACGCTTCCTGCACCCATGCCCCCTGATTCAGCACATTCATATGCAAACATCTCTTTAACAACACTGTTTACTTTTTACCCTGAGAGCGACATCAATTTCTGCTTGGAATTTCATCGCAAGTCATCCAAAAGTTGTTGAGACATTTCACTCAAAACCACAAATTTGAACTCCACGGTGGTCCTAAAAGAAAAAAAAGCTACCACGAATGCTGAGATCATTCAGCCTGTATCAGCTGGCAGGCATTACCATCCACACAGCCAAACTTAAGCACTTGAGTGTGTGAGAAATTCAACCCCCTCATTGTTTAGTCTCACCGTGCATTAAGATCGGCTGAGGGAGCACTTTATGAGGTGTTTATAATTTATAAACGAAGAGCACAAAGTGTTGGATCACATGTGGGTGAACAACAGTTGTGAACATGATATTTTGGGCTAATGCTTAGTTGAATCTAAGGATTAGTTCACTGTAGATTTATGCAGATGTGGTCAGTTAGGTTTTGCATGCATTGATGTTAAATAAAGAGGACTAGAACCACCGAACGCTGCCTTTAAACTTCTGCGATGCTTAATGAACGGATGCTTGCTCAGACGCAATTAAGACAAGCTAAGTTGTGGACAGCGGCTCCCACATTGCTGAACAATCCGAATCTGCGCCTGTTTCCTTAATAATTCCTTAAACAGAAGAAGAGCGTTCTAAACAGAAAACCACAATGAGAAGGTTAGAAAGTGAAACAGAGTCTTGTGGTTCTGCCGGTAACTTTTGGTCAAGAAGCTTTTGGAAATTTCACATTTGATTCATTTTTCAGTGGATCCTTAAACCTTAGGCCCAGAACAAAGAAGCCTTTGTCATTCAGTTATGAAGGACTGACAGCAAATCTCGGTGTTTACGACTGACGTTTCAGTTCAGCCACAGGAGTAAGTACCAAAAACCATCAGGGCTCCGCATTCAAGACTTTTGTTCTCAGTGTCATGTTTGAGGACACCAAAATAAAAAGTTTAGACTTTTGAGTACGGAGAGAGGCGACAGACTTATTCCAAAGCCATTTGCTGCACAGGGAGGTACAACAAAGTTACACATTCATTTCATTTTGCTCCAGATTACTCCAGTGTCTGAATAAGTGTACAGTGCATTTGTCTCCCTTTGTGACCCATGTATAAGGGAACCTAAGTGTGATAACTAACAGACGGTGACAGTAAGCATGTTCTGCTCCTTGCTACCCTCCAGTGGTGATCTAATGCCTCGTCCATCAAACTACCAACGAGCCAAAACAGGTCTGCAGTCCACCTGCATCCATCTCCGACATCTCCTCCGCTCTTCCTCAGTCAATATCTGCAGCTTGGAGATTTTGGCAGGAGATGTGTCAGAAAGCTCTGGGTCCTCCTGATCCCGCAATCAAACCTCTGCTGGATGTCTCCAGTTCATACCAAAGCCTTTGCCGCTTTTGGAATACTTCACACATCTGTCAAAACAGATCACTTGAGTTCAAACAGATGTCAGAGGGGCAAACTGCACCGTCATGGGCCAATGCATTCTTCTTCCTGATACGTCACTTTGTGTGTGCGTATGTGTGTGTCCATCACAGGCCAACCATGGTGACTCCTTCATAGCCTGCTGGTTGCAGCAAAAGGAAGCCTTTTAAGAAGCAAAGCCCCCCCTCTGCCCCTGTCAGTCTGTCTTTTTTCTTGTCTTGTCTCCCCTCCCTGCCTTGTTGTCACTCTTTCACTCTCTTTTGCCATGCCCGCTTGCTTGGTCTCACTCCAGATAGTCTTTTATACTTTTTCTACTCCTGCAGAGACAGAGAACGTTTTATGCCTACTTGTCTCCGTCTGATTTTTTTTCTTTTAGCTTCCTATCTCTTGCTTCCACTCGACCAATCAACTCGTTCTCCATCTCCATCTTGTGTCCTCCTGTCTGTGGTTACAGCTCAACTTGAATGCACACGTGAACAGCTGCTTTTCGTCACAGACAGCATCAGCAGCACAGAAACCTGATAGAAACCTCTGTCGCAGGAGCTCAGCTCCCAGAAGCTTGGCCTATCCTGCCGACACATACACACTAACTACAAACACATGCAGGCCTCGAGGCAGACCCACACCACATGTGAGTGCAGTGAACCTTTTTATTCACACACATGTGCGACTACCTACATCATCAGATCAGTTCTTTATTCATCCATTTACAGCCGTACAAGTCACTCGCATTGTCTGAGGGGGTCGTCCACACACGGCCCCTGAAGGAGGCGATCAATTACATGCTAATAACAACCTACGGGGTGGATACAGGATAATAAAAATTATACGCCCACTAACAATATCATTGGCCGGGTCTGAGCTGGGATGCCATCAGTGACTACTAAGCAGCTGTCTTAGGATCAAAACGGGAATGGTGCAAATCCAGCTGAACCAGCAGTTCTGAAAAATGAAGCCAACATGAAAGGTTAAAAAAAACTAACGGAATTACAAAGCATGTTTACAGGATAGAACAGACGGGTAACAGACGTCTCCGAAAACATCGGAGCGCTTTTGAAAATATGCAGTGTCCTGATAAACTGAGCAGATATTTGAGGTTTACACAGCTACATTCTCGCCTGAAAATATGTTAAACGTGTATTTTGTGACCCAGAAAGAATAATAAGAGTAAAGTTAAAACTAACTAGCTGCCGCCATTGTTGGAAACTGAGCTGGGCCGCGCTATGAATTCTGAGATAGGTTGGGCCCGACCCATCCTTCATATCTGGGGAAATGAAGAATGCGTTTTTCGGCATGGTGGAGTCTTCGAATTTGGACAGGCTTCGCCGTGTCGCTGTAACGTAATTGGTCTACAAATGCGGCCTCTGAAGGATGCAGCCGCTAACTTTGGAGACAGCTACGATACCGGACACTGCTCCTTCTTCTTCGGGGTTTGGCATCCTTGTACATGCAGTGCTGCCATCTTCTGTTTCAGTCCGTTATTACACTCTTAAATCCTGCTACTTATTCCTGCGTCTTTTGGGATCTTACAAAGCTTCAAACGACGCGTCGACTATTAAATCAGTCGTCGACGATTTTGATAGTCGACGTAATCGTGACTAGTCGACTATTCGTGGCAGCCCTAATGGAGAGTTTCCCTTTTATAAAAGTTTCATGGCCATTTGAAAGTTAATCCAAGCTAAAGAAGCTAGCTAGGGCTGCTTGAATTGACTGACGTGGACACTGTAGCCAACAGCCACCTACTATACAGCACCTTGTTCCAGGTGATGGTGCCCTTTAAGACAATCATCTTTGTGTTCTAGTAATAGAAATTCTAGTATTTGTAACTTAAGACAAACACTGAGAAACACGGTATTGCACTAGTACTGTTCAGAAATGCACCTCTAACCAAGCTTGCTAGCCATAGCTGATAGCCTAGCATTCCACCCTCTCACATTAATATGGTGACTTCTGGTAGTTAGCCAGTGTTTGCAGACAAACATAAAAACTAGCAGCAACGGTGGCAACCTGCTGGCAACCAAAGCAACTCCTAGGAGATTTTTGTGCAGCACTTTCTTTGTAAACTCAGACAGCCAGAGCCAGCAACCTCCAGGAACCATTTGCCAACCAGTCTGGGAATACACATCATTCCCTAGCAGCCCTGGTTGTATCACATCCTTTATGGCAGACAGCTCCTGAACAATGTGAGCCCTTTCACCTCTACTTAACAAGCTCCAAAGCAGAATGATAAATCCTCCTCTGACACTTGAAGCCTGTTAGAGATTCAGGGCCTCCTGAAAGATTTTCACTTGGGGATCTGGAACAGTAAATGTCTGTAATTCCTATAAGCTCTGTCCAGCTCCGGGGCCCCTGAATCATCACACTCCACTCACCCACTCACTCACTTACTCACGCTTTATTCCCGATTCTCTGCTGCGTAAGAGACTTTATCACCAATAACACATTTCATGTGAAAATGAGAATTCAGACCACGTGTGAGCTGCTTATAAACATTCATCTGATGCTTGAATGGTTTAAACAGATACAAGCAAACTTTAAACAGTTGTTGACTAATAGATTGTTGCATCCATGAGTTCATCCATGAACGGACCAGTGGGGAAATTCACAGGTCTCGAACCTTTCTTTGGAGAAGAAAAAAATAACAAAGCAAACTTTTTTAACCAAAGAGTTTAATTTGAAACTATTTTTAGGTAAACAAACGTTTTAAACTGAACGAGTCACAGGTTGGTGATCTCTGCGCGCGGTGGACCTTACCTGTGCCTGCTCGCCGCTCTCTGACCCGCTGGAACTGTAGACTCCGCGTATCCCAGACCCGAACACACACGGGCTAGTAAGAAGGTAAGCAGGTAAAATAAATGCTCCATCATTAAGTCCAATGTAAGTCAAAGACAAATGAAAGTCATTTAGGTCCAAAGTCTCTCCAAGAAAAAGCCCGCTGGATCCGTTCAGTGACGCACAGTCGGTAAATGCAGACGCAGAGCCATGACTTCACAGGATGATGAAGACCCGCAGAGTCCAGTCAAGTGCATTTCAGACGCTAAACTGCGAGCGTGCTGGAGGCAGACTGCCGCTGAAGAGCGAAGGAACAAGAAGCAAGTTTGCTGAGCTCAGTGAGCCCCATGCCAGCTCCCTCCCTCCCTGCATGCCCCCTACCCTCCCCCGTTTGTCTGTTTCGCTTTGATACTCAGTTTACTGGAAGTGCACTTCGCTTTCTACTCTGCTTCCCAAGTGTACTCATGTCGACGTGCGTGACGCTTTTCATTGTGTTGTTATCTTTTTAGTAAGTAGTAAAGTTGATTTATTAAACGCTTTTCATAGACAGTCACACGCACAGAGTAAAGTTATTTTTAAACTTTACTTAATAAACGTTGTAACCTAAATCGTCAGAATACGAAGACTCCTCTGCTCTCAGGCCCTGCGCCAAAATCACAGTGTAAATATAACTGTGGATAAACTGTATAGAAAAGATGGCCATAACTTATCTAGATGGATGAGTTAGAACAACAACCTGTCTCTGAACTATTAAAACCGCCCAAAAATATACTTTAAAATGTGTCAGTTTGGACACATTTCAAAGTATATTTATTTTAATATGTGCTCACGTTAAAATAAATCACACTGAGCTAAAGTCAAGGCTCTGAGGCATGAAACATGCTTATTTATTTCTGATATTGTCCCAGTTACTCATTTTACTTTGTTTTACACGCTGTAACTGTAAAACTTTTAGTCTCATCTTTTAAGCCAGCCTGGAATAGAAAATCGATTAACTCAAAGTAAGGATTTTATATCGTAGGCTGATGTCAGATTTCAGTCTGAGAAGCAGATGACATCGAGCGACTCCAATCAAACGCACACAGACAGCAAGTAGTCGAAGCATTGTGGATATTCTTGTGCTCTCTGAGCCAAGAGAGAGCTTTTATTCATGCCATGATTTACGCTGCTCTTCATTTCCTGCTTCAGTTCTCTTCCTGCTATTATACGTATCCAAATTGGGCCAACATGCCCAACAGTTAAATATAGACGGCTGCGATCTCAGCAGCTCTCCTGTGAGTGACACGGTGTCCAAAGTCGGTTTAAAAACAGTCGTTTTTATTTGTACCGTGCTTTCAAATGTATTTGGAAACATTTGCTGAACTCTAATTGTCCACACTCTGTGATTCAGACGAAAGAGGGGGGAAAGGACACACTGGCTGTCATGGTCTGTGGGAGTACCCGGAGGGGTTTTCCTTCTGTGGCTGCTGAGCCATCCCTTTGGGGCGGAGACTGCAGTGCTTCACCTGAGCCTCTTCTGCGAGCAATCAGCGGGAGACCTACTTAAGCTGACTCGACTGCTTCTCCTCGCCAGTTTGTTCTACTCTTCTCGGTGGTAAATGACGTTTGCCCTTCGTGGTTTTCCTCGTGTGATTTATCTCTTGGAGTAATTTCTGTCTTCCCTTCATTCCGTGGAGTTCCAACCCTGGCTTCACCTTACTTGGACAGTCTCTGTCTCCCTGCCTGCTCACCCGCCTGCCCTCTGACCTCCACGCTTCAGCTTGAGACCCTCCAGACACTTTCCACGGACCTCTCTCCCCTCCCCTCAGTGATACTAACCCGGACTGGCACAGTAAGGCAAACAATTCTCCAGTTTCTAGTTATCAAGCTCCAGTTTTCTCTTCAGACTATAGCTCCCTCTCCCTCTGTTACAGAAAATTCCCCCGGCTCGCCGACCTTTTCCCCATTCCTGCAACTAGCCTTACTGGGGCCTCCCTCGTCACTTTAGGTCACTGTTCCAAATAAATATCGCTGTAAAGCATTCCTCGCCCGTGTTTGTCTGCGTTTTTGGCTCCACTTTCCTCGCGAACCTTTCGGTTCATGACACTGGGTTTGTTTTTCGCGTTTGGTTATTCATGTTCAGAGAGCCTCGAACAGTTTCTGTGTCCTGATGAGCAACTTTTGTGAGACTGGTTGTAGGAGGCTGTTTTCTTTCCCTGGAGTTCTCTTGGTCTGTTGGTTTATTTCTTTCACTCACTGAAAGCTGTGCATCTCCTCCACTGCTGCCACAGAAGAATGCCCAGCTCAGCAGCCCTCCCATCAACCCACAAATGAGATCAGCTCTCCCAGCTGCGCTGTTGCCGACTCCCCACTGAGAGCAGAGCCAGGCATGCTGAGGAGCATAGACCATAACAGGAACATGCAGCTGTACCTGCAGCCGTATGCATGATGGTAAACGGATAGTTGGCAAATTAAAGATAAACTCTGCTAGGCCATGACTCAGATATATCATTGAAATACACCCAACAGTGTTAGGAAGCCAGGTGTGGTACAAGCTGATGCATGACTGCCATGCTTGCCCTTTTTGATGTTTTCTACCAAGCAGCTCAGCATCCTCATAAGTCAGAGTGACAGTTAGCAAAGCATCTGCTGGGCTTGTAAAATTGGCCATTGCCCAGTTCTAGCTTTGTGAACTGGATTTCCAGCGCAGTGACCCCTGACCTACGCAGATCCATACCAAACTAAATTCCTGCCAAAGAAACGCTGGAACATATTTATCAGATTGGGAAGTAGTGGCCTGTGTTTAGCAATGGTAGAGCCACTGTACTTTATTCCACAGGCTCATGGCTCATTAACTGCTGCTGCAGGCTGTAACATTGCTACTGTACCTTTCAAATGACCTGTTGCTGGTGTGAGATGCAGGCCAGCCTGCAGTCGAGGTGATAAGAGTGAGAATGAATGAGCGGCCTCACAAACCACGTGGTGTGTGACACAAGCCAGATATAAGAAGAATCTGAACTCGAACTAAATGACGGGGAGCGCTGTGAAAAAGACGTTCATCATGTTGGAACGTGCAAAATACATCCCTCCCTTTGTTTACAGTGAATCTTAAAGAAAGGGATTTTTCTGGACAGCAGACACGGACGCAGTGACGCCCTGTTATTTTCAGACAAAACCCTTAACTTGCCTCCTTTTCTGAAGCCAAACTTTCCCAAGATTAATTGGTAGCAATTTCCGAATTGCAAGTACTAAGATGATGAAATTAGTACCAGTTGGAATTTAAAAGTGCAACAAGTCCACGAGTCAACTGGAGACAGGTGTTGCCAGCTTATCTACTGCACATTTTTAACACTTAAGCTCACTGTGGAGTGTTTGCTGTGGAGTGGACTCTACCCTTCACAGAGAAAACTAAACGAGACAGTAACACAGAAACCTCTTACTGCATTTATTTTCATCGCCATAATTAATGTGCTGGTTATTTTATCTTATACATCTAAGAATATACAGAATATGTGCTCTTTTAGTGCTCTGAGCTAAATGCTAACAAGAATATGCTAACAAAGGAGAAATCTCTGGGGCTGAAATGTTAAGTCGGCTCAGAAGTGCCAAAAACTGGGGTTTCTCTAATGACTACTAGACGATGACTCCAAAAACAAGCCAGGCTCCATCACCCGTATGTGTGCTGACGTAGAAAGGCCCCAACAGCACACACATGGTGAAGAGGTCCAGTTCTAACAGAGGTTAGGCCTAACACAGAGGCTGCAGCTACAGCTGGCTGAGACTTGATTTGTATGGAGTTAGCGATCAAATAATAACATTTTGTTAAGTAGAAAAAAGCTTTGATTTAGTCTAGGTGAAGGTGTGTGTGTGTGTGTGTGTGTGTGTGTGTGT